CCACCAAAACGGATCCCCTCARCACCTCGGCTGCGCCTAGAAATTCTGTCCATGAAAGTAATGAACAGAATCGGTTCATTACAAACTTAAATTTGTTTATTTCCTAAATTTAAGTTTTTGTCATTTTGGCCTCTTGGTTCAGTAAGCTGCTTTGATTTGCAAGACATGCTTTGATTGGATGAAAAAGACCTGTCTGTAATTGGCTGGTGATGTGGTTCATTTGTAGGGCTGGGTTTAAAAAATCGATTTAATCGATTTTCATTCAAATTTGGAAAATTTGATTCATAAGTCACGAGATCGATTTTTTCCCCCATGGGTGTTGTTTGAGATGAAACTGCGCGTTTCTATGTTGTGTGTCACTCCTGGCTTGCCGCATGTTTACATCCGGTTAATGCCAGTCAGTGCTAACGTTAGCTCCCGACAACAAGTTGTCTGGGGCAAAACAAAAGAAACAAAGGACTCATCGACACTAGCAGCTGATTCTCATCTGAAATTAAAGATAACAGAGGCCATGACAACTTTTTTTTGCAAAGGTTTGCGCTCGGACGCGGCAGCGGGAAACGAAGCTTCGAGCGGCTCGAACCAAAACTGCGGTGTGTAAACATCTGACTCAGCATGTATAAATGTGTGGACGATGTCAGTCTAACTAAATAGTTTAGTTTTGTTGCCAATGTTATTTTTAAATTTAAGAAACATCTTAAGGTATTCACGGTGATGGAATGTTTTAGCTGAAGTACTTTTTTTTTCTTTTTAAAATGTTTTATTGAACAGAAGCTAACAGAAACATAACAAATATACAATTTTCATACTCTCAAAAGAGTGGGCAGAAGTATATTTATATTATCCCTCCTTTTCTCCTGTAACCTTATTCATCACTTCTTATGATCAACCAGAAGGTTATTAATATTTTTCTTCTTTTTTTCTTTGTAAAAGGGGCAGATACTGTATTATAAGATTTTTTTCTTCGTTCTGCTGCCTTTCATTTTATTTCGTGATAAAAGTTTTGCATTTTTTGTAATGTAAACTTTTTGTTTTAAATGAAACGAATAAATGAATAAATCAAATCAATCAAGAAAATTATTCTTAGTTTCTTTAAAAAAACTAATCTATCCAACAACACTTTCTCTTGCATTTCCCTTTTCAGTTTAAACCCTTTGAAACTTGAGACAGTTTTGTTTCCAATTTACAAGTTTGCCCTTGTTATGGACTAATTATTTATATCTGTTTCACCTTGACGCTGTCCAGTACTCATATATCTTATGATCACTTCTTTCGGCTGTTAATCTGTTTGCCCAGACGTCAGGACTCCAGCAACACAGGACTTCTCTTGTTTTTGATAAGGTAACTCTTTGGGCTGTGAGCCCTGTTATTGGTTAGGCAGTTACATTTGTCGGATTGTGATTAGTTGTAAACTGTCACATGGTGTTAACATGATGTTATATTATTGGCTGCTTCCGCTGACGAGGCAGCCACAACCCGACAGACTTCCTGATTGACTTCTGTTTGTTTTGTTGCTCAAGATTAAATCATTTGACGGCCATACACACAGACTTTCTGTGCATTTATTCCAATGTGTTTCTGCATTCTTGATAAACCTTGCCACGACAGCCCTTAATGTTTATAATTTTACCAATGCACCAAGTTAGAAGTAGTTTCTACTATTTGCAGAATTACTTCCTCTGAGTGTGTCTTCTAATTCAAAAATACTGTAAATGTGTTACTGCTTGTATCCTTAACTAATTTAAAAATCAGTCAAACTGAATCGTGAATCATCATGAATCATGAATCAAATCGGGTTAGGTTAGGGTGAATAAGAAAAACTGTCATTTATTAAATCCTAACACAACTACACAAAACAACTTTTCACCTATAAATCCCACTGAGTCTTCTCAGATACATCATCTAAAACTTGCAAGGTCCTGGTGGTCTGCTCTTTCACATGTCCTCCCTTGCTCCTGATGACCTCTACCAGTTTGGTGGAGTGTTTGTCCAACTATGCCAAAAACTTTGCCTCCAAAGGAACTGTTGTTACTCGCAGGAACTCAGCATTTATCTGAAAAACCAAAATGAATATGCAGAAAAAAGGTAAAGTAAAGGTGCTTTATTTGTCATCAATGTATGTTTCCACACAATGACGAAATTGTGCTCTGCATTTAACCCATCCACACCCAAGTGGAGCAGCGGGCAGCCATGTGAGGCGCCCGGGGAGCAGTTAGGGTTAGGTGTCTTGCTCAAGGACAC